CTCCCTCCCTCCCTCTCTCTCTCTCAAAAAGGTTAAGCAGATAGTATGAGGGGATTATGTGCAAAGGTACTGTGCAGATAACACCTATTCTCTTTTTCACTGGGAACTGAAATCAGGACTCCCCATACCTCATCTATCAGTCAGGTTCCTAATCACTGCAAAACCTCTCAATCCAGAACTACTAGTACTCTAGCAATGCAGATTAGCTAACAGACTTTATCACTGTAAACTATCCAGTTACACACCAGTAATTGGTTGGAATGAGTTGAAAACAAGTCAAACTGACTTATAAACTTTTGTTTTTTAACTACAAGCCTATGATTGTTTCAATAATTTACGGTAATAGTAGACTGCTAAGTTAGGGACACCGAGTAAGTAAATGAAAGAAGCTAAAAACAGAGCAGAAACCTGTACAAAATTTCAAGGGATTCTAGCAAACTATTTTAACATAAAAAGTACAAGGATCAAGTAAAATAAGCTTTCAAATCTTCTTTTAAAAAAATGTTATACTATTAGACACTTAAAAACATATATTAATCTTTACCATGTTATAACAACTTTTAGATTGCTGATTGCTCATTCTTTGCAATATGAAAATAATATGTACCTGGATTTACCTATTCATGGTGGCTTCATAATGACTAAATTCTTAATGATTTCCACAAAAGTTGAAGACTTTGAAGTCATAATATAATTCAGTCATTATGACACATACATCTCACTATACTACTGATGATTTCTCCTAGAATCTCAGTATGGCTACTTTGTCTGATTTTCAGGTTCCCCCCACAAGGTTTCTCTGTCTAGCTGTCTTGGAACTTGATTTGCAGACCAGGCTCAAATTCAGAGATCCACCTGCCTCTGCCTCCTGAGTGCTGGGATTAAGGCGTGCGCTGCCGCCACCACCGCCACCACCAGGCTGATTTTCAGTTTTTAGCCTAAGGTAAGCCCTAAAATGTGAGAGACCCCAACTGCTCTCATTTCCCTCTCAGTGGGGCTTGTTTGAAGCTGTAATTAGACTCACGCACACAATGTCTACCTACCTAGATTTATGTCACTGTCAGTTTCATCAGTGGGGCTCATTTGAAGCTGTAATTAGACTCACGCACACAATGTCTACCTACCTAGATTTATGTCACTGTCAATTTCAGCAAACATGTCTATAAACACATGTTTTACATTATGAGCAATACTCAAAGCTCTCAAACAAAAGATCATTAATACTACACCTACTATTAATTTTACTGAATATTAATATGTGTTGCAAGGGCAATAAAATGTCAGCAAATCACTCCTTCCAACTAATAAAATTCTAAAAATAAAAAATCATCAAATTCGCTGACATCTGACTACAATTTTTTTTTTTTCTCACTGTTCCATAAGCTTTAAAAAAGCAGACTTTAGTTTGGAGCAGTATTTACAGAAGTTACAAAGACTGTGTAAGTATCTCACACAGAAGCAGAGCATCATGGCGGACATCTACATCCCAGCGCTCAGGAGGAGGCCCAGCATCAAGGCCAACCAGGACGACACAGGGCCCTGTCCTAAAACAGGAGTTTTCATGTAATTGAGATACAATCTACATCAATACATGTAAAGCATGGGATTTAACCAAATAACAAAAGGCTGAGTATTTCCAAAGACAAATCTACATTGAGAAACAGTGCCATATAAAAGAATGGATCTGGCAAAAGAGCAGGACCACTAATTGCAGAAATTAGACAAGTTTATAGAAACAAAACCATAGAACTTACTTTGAACATTGTTACAAGCACAAAGGCATGTTAACAAATCTCCAAACGTTTAATATAAGCTCAGAATGCACTTCGTTTCATAAACTACCAAATAAAAGCTAGTGTTGAACCTATCTTAAATCCCAGCTGAAGTCAAAGCAAATTAATATACCTAATGAAAAAAAAATACTTCGACAGTTTTAAAGGAATACAAATAAAACATTGAAAGCAAATTAACTTTTTATAAAGAAAAAAGAAACCAATAAAAACCTGTGGTGCGTTGGGCAGGACGACAGTACTCTCAGCAGGGACGGGCAGGGCAGGGGTCACAGGGACAGTGGGAGAGGAGGGAGGAACAGCTTCTGTGGGCTAAAATCACCAATGACAAAAAATCAGGAAAAAAACATCAAATAAAAAAGACACAAACAGAAAGTTGTACCATAAAGGTAAATTATAGTTCTCCATATAATAATTAATAAGTGAGAAAATTATTAAGGTATTACTTTAGTTAGTTAAGTAATGAAACTGTCCTATGGCTATTTCAGCAACAATTATGACCTCAACTTACAACATCAGTGTCTATGGTTAAGAAGATCTGTTCTTTAGAATGTACCAACAAAGACAATCAATCATGCACTATTTAATGATACGGTTGTTTTATAGACAGGTTGCAAAAATTTTTCTAGCATCCAGAAGCTATCTGATTATTTTTCCTTTTCACATTAAAAAAAAAGTTATTAGCCTACCAGCAAATGTTTATGAATACACAGGAAAACATTTAAAAAAATCTCCAAACAGAATTTGTATCATTTAAAATAATCCATACTATTAAAACTCTTGCTTCCAAGAACAGTAAATAACCTGCCTAATGTTCCTTTGAAGTCATTATCCCAGTTACCACTGGCTCCTTTATGTGATCTACTCGACGAAAGTGGAGGGAAAAGTACAGAGGTGTTTCGGCAATTTAAACCAATAAACTGTAATACTTTGTATACTTAATTACTGTCTGGCTTGATTATTGTCAAGAGTAGTATGTAATATGCACAGAAAATATATTTTCTAACAAAATTATACTACTACAAACACATTAACTCAAAAATACAAATGAAATATAATGTAAGAAAACATTTAAAATCAAGCAGATAGGGAGACAATGGATACTAACAGAGACTTAAAGCCAAGAAGAAAAATTAAGATGAAGCTACTCTCCTTGTCACTGATAAAATTATATTAATAACTACTGTTTATCACATCAGTCAAGATTCATTAAAGATGTATAAAGCCATGTGTGGATGGTGCACTGGTTGAGGCATAATTCAAGGACAGCCTGAACTCATAGTAATATGTATTATTATACAATAATACTGTCTCAAAACCAAAACCAACCAATCAAACAAAAGACTAAATGAAGATTTGAACAGAAAATTTTACAAAGTCTTACAAGTATGCAGTGAGAACATGAAAGGATTAGTCAGTAGGGAAATGCAAACCAAAGCTAGTGAGTTGGCATTTTATACATACTGAGGAATGGGGTCATTCAAACAAAATGACAAAAATCAAAGTAACAAGTGGCAGCAACGATGAAACTAAAACCCTTGTGATACTGCTGTGTGTGTATAAAATGGCACAGGTTGGGGCTGGAGAGATGTCAGCAGTTAAGAGCCCTGGCTGCTCTTCCAGAGGACCCAGGTTCAATTTCCAGCACCCACATGGCAGCTCAAAACTGTTAACTCCTGTTCCAGGGGATTCAGCATCCTCACACAGACACACATGCAGGCAGAATACCAATGCATATAAATAAAAAATAAATAGATTATTAAAAAAATAAAATAAAATGGCACAGGTATTTGTGGAAAACAATTTAGTGGTTCTTCAAAAGCAGCCATGGAACTATGGTGTGATCTAGTAATTCTACTTCTAAACAACTAAAGAGTGGGAAAAAAGATTCAACTACTTGTATGCAATGTCCAAGGCAGTGTCATTCCCAAAAGTCAAAGGTGAACGAACAATTCAAGTGTACATATATACAGATAATCAACAATATGTGGAATATACCTATAATGGACTACGATTCAGCCTTACAAAAGAAACACATTCTGGCACATGATATTACATGGGTGGACCTTGAAGACTTTATGTAGGTAAAATGAACATACCACAAATTGGTTCTACTTATACACACTTTATTATAATAATATTTTAAAGTTGACTATCACATCCTATCACATTGCTAATGGATATTTAAATCCACACAAAGTTTAGAAAAAGTAACTTATCAGTAAATACCTATATTAAAAACTGCCTCAAGTCTGACTTAGTAGTTTAATGTAGTCTTAAGGAACAATTTAAAAAGGAAATATAACACTTCTGAGATATTCTCTGGAGAAGAGTTTATAACTGGGGAATTGTGAAATATTATAAATATCCTAAGGTATCTCAAGTAGTGCTAACCATTAACATCAAACGTTTTGAGCAATTAATCTATAATAGCTTATAAATCAGATGGAACACTGCTTATAATATTAAAAGAGAGAGGAAACATAGAAAGAAAGGTTTGAAATGTTAACAAATGGGGTCAGGATCATGACTGTTTCCTCTCTTGCTTTTATTTTGAACTTGATTTCTCCAATTGTTCACAATAAATACACAGAGACATTATAAATACAGGGTGAGGGAGGAAGATTGGTGCATACTAACACAAAATAAATCATCTGTCACCAGCACATTCTCTGTAAGACAAACAAATGAATGTGCTCTAAAGACACTGCAAATCTCAGTAATGCTGCAAGAATTTTTTTCCGGAGTTGAGGACAGAACCCAGGGCCTTACGAGCAAGCACTCTACCACCGAGCTAAATCCCCAACCCCACGCTGGAAGAATATTAACACTGATAAATGAGCTTAAATTGATGGATTCTGCTATCTGAATTTCTTATTTTCCTTTCAAACAGATTTCTAGCCATTAGATTTTATGGTGAAAAAAAAAATCAATCTCCCCTCCCCCCTGAAGAAGTAATTCTTAAAATGAGGGATGACATTTGTGTAATATTGTGAATATACTTAATGTCACTGAGTTATACCCTTAAAAGGCTAAAATAAGGGCTGGAGAGATGGCTAAGAGGTTAAAAGCATTAACTCAGAAGCTGGGTTTGAGTCTCAGTTACCCACATGGGTGACCCTGGTTCCAGGGGACCTGATGTCGTTTGCCGTGGAAAGCAGACGCACTGACATGCATGTAGGCAAAGCACTCAGACATGAAAAACATGTATCTAAAAGGCTGAAGTGAAAACTGTATGCTATGTTACTTCACCACGAGGGAAGAAAGTACACTGAATTAAGAGGGTATGGCTTTGACTTGAAGCTTCAGTCACTATTTCTACTTCTGAATTCTGTCTTTGAAGGTTAGAATTAAAAACTTAAATGGTAGGCAAACAATTTTCACTCAGATACTCCCACGATGTTTAAAATGATTTATGACAAAGCCCAGAGGAAGAATGGTTTTGAAAGAATTGTTGCTAGATCACTTGGATGTACATGCTGAAAGAACAAGTGAATACAGATCCCTAGTTTCAACCCCAGAGAGAAGCAACCCAAACCCTCTAGAAGGCAATATGGTAAGACACCACTGCCTTTGTAGAGAAGGCGACTAACTGAACAGAGAAGTAGACATTGCTCGAACCAAAGCAGGGTAAGGAGATGCTATCAGCTGTGAGCAAGGAATGGTGGGAGTGAGCACTGTGCCATAGAGCGTGGTAGCTGGGACAGGGTGAGGGCGGTGTTGTATGGGCACAGCAGCATAAAAGCCTGGCATGAGGCTCAACAATCCCAGTGGAATACAGAAGCAACCTGGAGATGCTGAAGCAGTGAGGAAATGGAGAATGAGGGGAGGTGTGAAGGGAGATTTCACTCTAGTAAGTGAGTATAGAAAGGGCAATGGGAGCAAGGTTTCTCATGTTAGACAAGTAAAGCTGTAAATTATGAGAACCGAGAAAACTCAGGACGGACCTATGCTGTTAGACCAGATCTGAAGTGCTGGGATAAACATAATGATTTTTCAACACATATAGAAACAAAACTAAAGACAGGCATAAATGTATTTCCCAGATCTGCCTCACTGAGAACAACTAGGACACTTACTACCTCAAAGCCTAGACTTGTATCTAGTACCCAGATCTTGACTTTTAAATACCCATCCTCAAATAAGAAAACAAAAGAGGAGTCTCCTTACAGAAATGGCTGGCTCCAGTGCTAGGATCCAGTGAGTGTGACATCACCCGGACATCCTGCTATCTGCCCCAAAGTAAGTAAGTACTCCAAGAAAAACAGTTATCAAAGGGCCTAAAAAAATATCTTGAAGGGCTGCCACCTTGGAAACACCCAAGACTCAAAATAAATAATAATTGTATTAGATTAGTATTAGTATTAGAAAAATATTAGAGACTTTTCTTTTGCTGTGATAACCATGACCAAAAGACTTAAGGAAAAAGGAATTGATTCTGGCTTATGGTTCTAAAAGGCTAGAGTCCACAATGGCAAGAAGTGGTAACATGCTGGTAAGAGCAAGAAGCCGGCGGGTCTCTTTATTCATCCATACACAGGAAACATTGAGAGACATCAAGTGGGGTGAGGCTATACAATCTCATAGCCCGCCCCCCAGTGATGCACTTCTACAGCAAGGCTGTACCCACCTAAGGATTCTATTATCTCCCCAAACAGTACCACTTACTGAACAAGTGCTGAAAAACTTGAGCCTATGGGAGAGATACTCTCATTCAAGCTACTAGAGTAACAGTGGCATAAAACTCAATAAATAAGATAGGAGAGTCCATATTGAAAAAATGCACATAGGAATTAATAAACAAAATCCATTTCCTAGAAATAAAATGCTAATTAAAAAGTGTAGAAGAAATGGTGAAATTATCAAATCATCATCTGGCAACCATCATGTTATAATTCATTTAAGAAATAGCAATGGATGCTTAAACTTCCTCTTGCTGTTGCTAAGTGAAACTTCCATTTCATTTTACTTGACGTACATCTGAATGGGACACGGACACACACAGACGGACAGATGGACACGGACACACACACACACACACACACACCCCATACATAATGTATCTCCTCAAAATACTAACCTGGATAAATCCAACAGATACTATCCTAATAAAGTAATCAGAGGTAACTTTACGGTAACAGGACAAATTGAAACGAAATACTATCTCAGAGGAGACAAGGACAACACTAACTTTGGTGGCAAACACAATTAACTGCATCTAATCAAACAGCCAACCCAAACCAAGCGATAATACTACAAAACAACTGGTCATAGTCATCATAACTGCGACAATTATTTCTTACAATGTTTGT